GTGCAGCCCCTACCCCACAACCAGGGAGGCATTTCACTCTGCTTTGTTCATGGCTCTATCTGCAAGGTACAGAGAAGGAGCTCAGTATTTGGTGGGTCCATTCCACTGGGGTTCACCCATCTCCCTTGTTTTGCCAGTGGTTGAAATGAAGGCCCCTGTCCTGCCCTCTGGAGACTCTGATGCCCTCCCCTCCCACCCACCCCAGCACCTCCTACCTGCAGGGCCTTGCAGGAGCTCTGGGCCAGCACCTGCCACCACAGCCCACGGTCCAGCTGCAGCTCGCCGACACCCTGCAGCTTACAGGCCCCTGCTCTCAGCTTCAGGCCCAGCCAGTGCCCGGCCTCCTGCCCAAGCTGGATGGCCAGAGAGGTCTCTGGGGGGAGAGCCTGTAGTGCAGGAAATGTGTGCCTCAGCTGCGCTTGGAGAATGGCCGTGGACTGGAGCACGGCCACCGCCAGGGTCAGGGAGGCTGTATGGCCAGGGTCCCTGATGCCACTCCTTCCCCACCTGCAGCCTGCAGGAGCCTCTGGGCTGCGGCCCAGCTGGGAGGCCGAGGCCCTGCTGGGCCAGAGGGCAGGCCCATGCCAGGAGTGATCCCAATTCCCCATCCCCTACTCTGTTACCCCTCCAGCCCCTGGCCTACAAATCTGTGCCTCCCCTATCCCGCCCCCCATCACAGTAACAACAAATCAGATTATAATACACAACAACCACCATGTAAGGAACACGTAGTACACACAGCCTCGTGCTAAGCGCTCTACGTGAATGATCTCCTTTCATCCTCTTTGACAGCTGAGATGGGCAGGTGACTATTCCCACATTACAGATGGAAAACTGAGGCTCAAAAAAGCCAAGCAAATTGCCCAGGGTCATAGGCTAATAAGGAGGCAGCGCTCAGCATTGACCTTGATCTATCTTCAGTCCCTGCTGTCCCATGGGACAGTCACTATCCACAAGGGCCTGTTTCAGTTTAAATGAAAATGAGGCAAAATAATTATGTTTCTTGGGCGCACTGGTGAACACATTTGAAGTGCTCAGCAGCTACATGCCCCTTGTAGCTACGGCCCTGGACAGCAAAGAACAGAACATTTCTAACATCACAGAAAGTTCTAGCAGGCAGGCCTGCTCTACCCCCAGACTCTGTATTTCCTCTGGTGGCTCGGTCGTGTGTTGCCTCGACCGATATGGACAGGGCCTCTGCCGGTGCCAGCACTGTGCTGGGGGACACCGTCCCTGCCCTGAGAAGGGGGGACGGGTGAGGGGACAGGCGGGGCAGCCAGTCCCGCGCAGACAAGGACTGCAGTGTCCCCTTTCCTGAGAGGCATGCATTCCCCTCCCCCAAACATCACTGGATTATTCATAGGCCATCTCTCAGCCCAGGTAAAACCCAGCCTGTGCTTTTTAACAGACTATGAAACCAAGATGTGACAGTCCCCCTGTCAGCTGAGGACAGGAAGACAGCTCCCCTCAGTTCTTCCTGCACTCAGGATTTTACTAAAAAGACAAATTCCTATAAATTTGGGATTTGAGATCCTCTGCCCCACAGTGCTGCCTGACTCCAATCTCTCCCAGCCTCAGTTTCCTCCTCTGCCAGAAAGGAACGCAGGATTGGAGGTAAGAGGGGCCAAGTGTTGGCGAGGATGTTCGGAGAAGAGTAGCTGGGGGTCATGGGAAGACCGCGGAGGGAGGTACTGGCCAGCTTCAGGCCTCTCACTGGCAGGGATTCTGGAAGCCCAGGGGCGCGTGCCGTAAACCACCTCACTGGCCCCCTTGCTGGCCTGCCATACACACTGCCAGCAGCGGGCAGCCCGGCTCTGTGGCCTGCGTCCATATGCTTTATCCCTGGCAAGCTGCTCCAGCGTGCCCTGCAGCTGGCACGGCCCCACCTGGAGGGCCAGGAAGGTGGCAGGGCCAGGCTGGGTGGCCAGGCTGATGGTGCGGCTGGCGGCGGGCCCATGTGGGTCAGATGCCCGAGGACTGAGGAATGCAGCCCTGGAGTGAGGGCCAGCTGCAGGTGGGCATCTCCACAGCCAGGCCGAGCTCACAGGGGCCCCCCTCAGGCTGCCCTCAGAGTGCAGGACCTGTGGGCGCCTGTGCACTAGAACAGGGGGAAAGTGGGGGGATTCAGGGGCAGCTCTGAAAGCCAAGGAGACGGAGGTGGACACAGGCCTGGGCAGGAAGAGGGCAGAATAGCCTCATCTATGCCAGTCCCTCCCTCTGCATAGTGCCCACACCATGGGCTCACTGATGCCCCAGTGACAGCTGTGGGCTAGTGTTCTGGCTCTGCCACTGACCCGGTCATTCCAACCCAAGCATGTGACCTCAGTTTTCCTGTCTCTAAAATGGGGTGGACCAGAGCACCCTAAGTCACTGGAGATGTAAATGAGTTTATACTCATGACTTGCTAGCCCAGAGCCAGGGCCCCAGGCAGCACTGGCTATTGGAAACTGATCATTAACATCAGTGATCAATGACTGGAAGGCAGAGGTCCTAAGTGACTTGCTCCCCTGGGGCCCTTGACATGCCTCACATGGGGGCACAGGCCAAGGTGGGAAGACAGGGTGAAGGGGCTAACTCCGCCCGGGCCCCCCACCTCTGGGCCCAGGGCTCCACCTGGGACTAGGGGACAAGCAGACCCTTCCTCAGGGGGGCAAGGATTTAAGGAGGCACAACTGTGAAGCCTCAGAGAGCATTCGGCCAGCATGTGCGCGCAGTAAACCTCAGCCCCTACCTTTGACTGTTCTAGCCCTTATTCCCATCTCCCCGGGCCTAGGAGTGCGGTAAGGGACATCACAGGACAAGAACCAGCCCCAGAAAGGGAAATGTGTCTTGGTAGGTCCCTTCGAGAAACAGGAGAAAATTCAGTTTCGGTCTTATTTTTGGCTCAAAACTTTATAGCTAATGAGCCCCAAATTCAAGAGACAATGTTAAAAAGGATGGAAGCCCTTCACGGTGAACACAGAACTGGGCATACAGCCGGCAGTTAATTTGTGCAGGGGGGAAGTACCCTGCACTGATGGGTGGGGATGGCCTTATGTCCAGCAGGGAGCAGTGGGTCACCAGGGACAGGGTCCAGGTGGTTTGTGTAGCATTGGCCTCAGTCCTGACGTCGCCGTGAGAGATCAGAGTGCACTGGCCCAGGGCCACCTCCCGCTGGGCCCTGCGGGGTTGGTCCCCTTCAACAGACACTCGGATGTGGTTGCTGGGGGCAGACCCTAGAGCCTGAAGTCGAGGCCATGCGTGCTGGAGGCGGCCATCCAGGTGGGCACAGCAGCCAGAGGCTGTGTGGACGTCGGCCTGGGCAAATGTGTCCCCAGAAGATACCTGAGCTGCCAGGCTGGCCGTGCAGGTGTGGACCAGGAGGGAGCCATTCAAGGACCGCACAGCCTGACTCTGCCTCCAAGAAAGGCAGAATGGGGCCAAGCGGGTGTCCCCACAACGTGGGCAATGGAGGGAGGCCCTCCCTGCTGGGCTCTCTGTGTCCCCTGTTAACAAACTACATCCCTGCAAAGTGCTTCTCTCTGAGGAGTGCAACCCAGCCTCCCAGGGAGTCCTGAAGCTTGACCTTTCTGAGCATTTTAGGGTCCCTGGTATCCCCTTGCCATGGCGCACAGGCTGGTCTCTGCATCCTCCCCAGTTTCCACGGTAGAGGCCTGTCGACTTCTCTCACATGGCCTCTCTGGGCGAGTCTTCTCTTGCTGCCCCCGGTGGGAGTCACTGCTCCTCCAGATGGTGTATTCTAGAGACCTGGGGGGGCCCAGCATTGGGGAGCTGCCCACAGCCTCATCCTGTTGCCAGTGCTCACCTGTCTGCCTGGCGTGGGGACAGTACCGCCAGTGACAGGGCAAACACGCCCTGTGAGCCCCACTGCAGCTAAATGGAGACTGCATTTCCGGGGACATGGCGGGCTCAGAGGGGTCTGGGCAGACAGCCCCCAGTGCCCAGGCCGCAGCAGCCCCTCCCAGAGGCAGACCCCCATCTACCACTTCTGCCCCACTTGTGACAGGGACCTTTGTACCTCCAGAGGCCTCCCAGTGATGTCCCCCCAGCAGAGTCCTGACAGCTGGGCCGGCGAGACGCCATGGCTGCAGTTGACCTGTGGAGACCAGCGGGGCAGGGCAGGGCCGTGCCGCCAGACAGCCCTGGGGAAATGGCAGTGGGGGACTCCTCCCCCTGTGGAAGCTGCCCTGGGAAAATAACCCCAAAGAGAGGCTTGTGCAGAGACCCTCAGTGTCTTCATTCAATTGAGGACACAGTTGGCCTCTGTGTGCCTGGTTCTAACCCGTCCCTCATGGTCACCACAGGAGGTAAGAGTGCTAACAGTCCCACTTTACAGATAAGGACCCCGAGGCACCGGCAATGCAAGTAACCAGCCCGCAGCTGCGCAACTGGGAGGTGAGGCAGCAGCCCGGCTCGTTCGCCCCCCCGGGACCCCCACAATGCCTCCCTCACACTTGGGAGGGTCTAGCTGCCCCTTGACGGGCACAGAGGCGACTTCCTGCTTTTCATTCTCGAGAACAATGCGGATACAGCTGTGCACGTGTGTCCTTGTCTGGTGTCCAGGGTCCTGGGGGAGCTGCCCAGAAGCGAGCAGATGGGCAAGGGCCTCGGCCGTGTTAATTTTGCTAGACAGGCTGGGATGCCCCCAAAGAGGCCTTGGTTACACTTCCGCAGATGGGGGAGGGTTGGCAGGAGGACAGGTGGACAAGTGGACCAAAGAAGCAGGGAGAGGAGAGGGCGGGGAGTGGAGGGTGGGAAGGAGAAGAGGGTAAGTGGGGCGGGGAGGGGAGAGGTAGGGAGAACGGATGGACGGGAAGGGATAGGAGGGGCTGAGGTGGTACAGTCCGGGCTCGGGTTCTGCTTGGGTGCCAAGGCAGAGAGGCAGGGGATGCTCTGGCAGGCTGGGTTCAGGCCAGGCCATCTCAGCAGTGAGAGTGTCAGCCTGACCCATGTGGGGCCTCTAGTCACTCAACTTGAACTTTGTGGGTGCGGGGCCCAGCAACTGAGAAGTTGTGGTGCAGCCCCAGGGCCACCCCCTCGCAGCTGCCCTGTCCCCTCCTCTGTAGAGCAATGTGAAGCTGCTCGCCGTCCATCCACGCTCACCACCAGCCCAGCGACCAGACTGTGTGTTGTGCTCTGGGGAGAAGCACAACTGTGGTGTCCCTCAGACCTGTTGCCCTCTGGCTGGACCTGCCGTCCCCTAGGTACACCCCGGCTGGCCCTCTCACTCACCTGGAAGTGTCCATGGCTGTCCCAGTAGAAGGGGAGGCCTCAGCACCTGGGGCCAAGCAACATGTGGTAAAGGTGGGCATGGAGCCGGCTGCCTGGGGTGCTGGGGGCCAGGCCTTCCAGGCCAAAGGCGGCCTCCAGCCGTCCCCCAGCACTCTGCAGTGCCATGGGCACTGGGAGGTTGGAAGCCACATGGGCGTGTGACAGGAGCATCCCTACCTCCAAGGGGACTCTTGGGGGCAAGAGACCATGGAGGTGGCCACACCCAGTCTACGCACCACAAGGCCCAGAACAGGGATCCCTGCCAGCCTACCTGCTTCCTGGACGGTCCCTGGAGCTCTGAGCTCCCCAGATCCCACTGCCCCAAATACAGCAGGTCGAACCACATGCAAGTGCAGCAATCCACCATTTCTGATTCCCAGACATGGCGCCTTCACCCAACCCCACTGAGTACATTAATCCCAATACCTATCAAGGGACAGGCCCCCAGTCCATCTTGGTGCCTAACACCCCGAGGACAGGGACTGGCTCCCAGAAAGCATGAAGGGAGCAGGGATCTGAAGCAGCGCTCTCCCCTCACTGCTGCACCTCTGAGCCCCTCTAGGACTCACAGAAATGTCCTCAAGAAGCTAAAGCAGGGGGTGTCCAAACTCTCTCCTAACTGCAGCCCAGGAGCCGAGCTGGAGGTCCTGGGAGGCCAGGCTTCCAGGCTGGAGAAGCTGGGCCTGAGGACGGGTGGTCTTGGGGGAGGGGCTGCCAGTAGTGGTTGTCTGCCCTCTGGTTTGGAAGAATGTCCATTCTGGGTAACAGCTGTTGTCCCTATACTGTATGTCCTGGCTAAGTAACAGCCTTCGGAAGGTGGAGGCACTAGGAGAAGCTGGTAGGGGGAGGACATAGAGCTGGAAGGTAGGTTTGGGGACTGGGGTTTTTTTACCTCCCCAGCCCCTTTGCTTCAGGAGCTGGGAGTCTGTGGGAAAGGAAGGCAGCTGGCACCCATACCTGCTGCAGTCAAGGTGCTGATGTGACTCAGCCCGCCTGAGAGCTGGCCGTGCCTGGGGCCCCAGGTGCAGACCCCACCCAGAGCCAGGCTGGCCACATCGGCATGGACGCTGGCCCCCGAGGCTCCCTGTCTGGGCCCACAGCTGCCCTCTCAGCTTGAGCTCTCCCGGCAAGGCCTGGCTGCTGTTCTGGCTGAGGACATCGGTCACACTGCGTGCACTGGTGCCATTCCCTGCCTTCTCGTGCTTATCCTGCAGGAGGAAACCCAGCACAGCTGAGTCGGCAGTGACCCTGATGGTACCTGCAGAGGAAAGGAAAGAAGCTATAAAGACCAAAGGGTCATCTCAGGGGACTGGCTGCTTTGGGTGGGAGGGAAAGAATCCTGGGGTGGGAAGTTCTGGGATCCAGGATGTTGTAATTCTAACGCACATTAGAGGGGCATGTCTGGGATACAGACCAATGAAATCAGCTCCCTCCCAGAATGCTCTGAGGATCAAGCAAGCTAATTCACAAGCAAAAGGGCATTGGCCAAAAAGCAGCAAGGCTGATAAGGCAGGTCTGTGATACCAGAGCTCAATTCTTGCCCAAGAGGCTCACAGACCACAGCTAATGGAATGGCCCCACTTTACAGACAGGAAAACTGAGGCCTGGGAGGATTTGAGAGATCCCATCTGGAATCCTCGAGATAGAAAAGTTGCTCAGAGGTCTCTTCCATCCAGAATGAAGATCGCACACCGTGAGGCCAGTCCCATGCCTCTACGTAACTCATGCATCAGGGAAATTCTTATTCTTTTCAGAACCATTTAGGTCTCCTGACCCCACTGACTTCTCTTAGGGCCTTAACATGGTCCAAGAGCGCTTATACGTCCGTCCTGTCATTCCCTGATTGACTTAGGAGTCACCACCTCCAGGAAACCTTTCTTGGCCCCTCTGCATCCCCCCAGGCTGAGTTAGACACCCTGTTCTGTGCTTCTAGACACAGAGCTCATGTTAAACTCTATCACAGAGTGGAGAGCACCTTCCACAGAGACACAACTTTCTTGCAGAACCATCTTTTTAGGGGCTCTCTGTCACCATGTCCTACAAGATGTTCACCAGTTTCCTCATCTGGAAAACATGGGTAGCCAGAGTAAAAGTTCATTAGATTATTGTGAAGATAACATGAAATGATGTCAATGGAAGAGAATAGAGCCCAGGAATGGACTCACAACACACAGGGTCAATTGATTTTCAACAAAGGTACAAAGGTAATTCAGTGGAAAATAATGTGTTGCAATAACTGGAATATAAATATGTTGAAATGATTGGAAAGCCACATATAAAAAAACTACTTTGGCCTTTACCCAATCATATACACAGAGCAATTCAAAATTAACCACAGACCTAAATCTAAAACATAAAACCGTAAAACATTTAGGAAAAAAGAGAAGAGAAAAATTTTGTGGCCTCAGGTTAGGTGAAGATTTCTTATACAACACCAAAAACATAATCCATAAAAGAAAAAAGTGATAAATTGGACTGTATCAAAATTAAAAACCTCTGCTCTTCAAAAGACACAATTTAAAAAAATGAACAGACAGACCACAGATTGGGAGATGATATTTTCAAAACACATATCTAATAAAGGGCTTGTATAAATGATCTTCAAACTCAATAATAAAAAAACTAATAACTGAATTTTTAGGATGGGCAAAGGGTTTGAAGAGACCCTTCACGAAAGATTTCCAAGTGGCAAATAAACCTATGACAAGATGTTCAGCAAAATTAGTCTTTAGGAAAATCAATGAGATATAACTACAAATTTTGTCAATTAGAATGACAAAAGAAACCAAACAAGAAACAAAAAAAACCCAAACTGAATCGTAGACATACATCCAATCATACCAGTAATTACATTAAACACCAGTCAACTAAATCTATAAGAAAAAGACAGAGATAGTCAGACTGGATAAAAAATAAAATCCAACTATACCTGGCCTACAAGAAATGTACTTTATAAGGAAATAGATATGCCTAAAGGAAAAGGGTGGGAAAATAGATATAATTCAAGTGCTAATAAAAAAGCAAGAGTAGTAACAATTGTATCAGACAGACTAGACTTTAAGACAAGGAGTCTTATGAGAAATAAGTAGTACATTTCAGAATGATAAATGGGTTAATTCACCAAGAAAGCATAACACTCATAAATGCTTATACACCTAATATCAGTAGGTCAACCTGCATGAAACAAAATAGACAGATCCCAAAAGAGAAATAGAGATAGATATTCACCATCACAGTTGGAGAGTTTAACATTCTTCCCTCATTAACTGATATAATAACAA